TCTGTGCACTTTCAATAGTCCAAGGGTACATCTTTGACTATGTTTGAATTGAAGCTCCATACAAATCTCTGTTACATACTCCAAATCAACAATTCTGTTCCCTTGGATAACTGTCGAGTCTGGTCGTGGTATTCTTTCAACTTCTATAATGTGTTCATTGACTCTGAAAACGTGTAAAAAAATAAAAAGATGTACCTAACTTTTTATGAATATTTTATCTTACTCATTATATTCCTCTTGGCTTATAGATGAGAACTCATGAAGCTGTTCATCAGGCAAAATAGACATTGCTGGGTCTTGCTCAGATTGTAGAGGGTTAGCGCCAGAAGTAGATTGATTATTTTCTTCCACGAGGTTGCTAGAATCATATTTATTAAAAATCTAAAAAGATAAGTACTAGTTTATTAGGCTTACATGTCAAGGGGGTCACTGATGCCAGTTGAAATTATTTCGTCCATGATAGGGGTCTCATGCTCATTTTCGTAACACAGTGATTCTCTAAAGAAAATTTGAAACCTGCTTGTAATGTGTGTATTTTTTTCTCATGAATAAATTTTGACACTTACATAATAACGCAGTTGTTCTCTTGGTCTTGGGATACTGGTGATATCATATTAGATAAGAGTGTCTTTATGTTTTCTTGATCTTGGGTCCTACAAAATTAAAAAAAAAAAACAACTTTTTTGCAATATATAGTTATGTATGTTTTTCCTATTATCAGCTTGCTCGTCTCTTGCACCTACAAAAGCTGCTTATTGGGGGCAACCGAAAAAAGCAATATAATTTCATTGTAGAAAAACAATTACAAACTGAGTACGTCCAGAAATCGAAGTTGTAATTTACCTCTTTGAACACACTGTAGAACACCTGGCTCTAGAGCTTTCACCACCTGCATTCCTGCTGGCATAGGAATGTTCTCGCAAGACCAATCTGTAATGATGAATAATGTAGATGTAGAATAAATTTATTAGTGTAGGATATAGAAACCAAAATTTTCAAACACTTTACTGCTCTAGAATTTAGTTTCTTCTTTCTAGTAAAAAAGGAAATCGGTACTTACATTTTTTTTCTAAAAAAACTTTCCCGAAGATGCTGGGCTCTATTGGTTTTTTTAGGAGCATAGTAATTTTCTTTCACTTTACCCATTATTTCACAAAAGAAAATCACAAAATATAAAAAATAATTCAGTGAAAATTCCTTATAACTTGTACGTACGATGCACGCAAAAGGCAAGCAAGAAATAATCACAAGAATCGCCTTTTTCACTCTTCCAAGTTTTTCACTGACCTTGGATTCTTTGCCTTAAAAAAAAATTACCCGGCAAACTAGTTCAAAATAAATTTCATTTATTTATCGCCAAAGTTCTAACGACAATCGAAACAAACAATCGCGCTAGTGATACCAATACCAAAAAATCGACAAAGACAAACATAGGTCATCAATAGTTGTATTCCTTTCAAGAGCTTGAAGCACTCGAGCTAGTCGCTCCGGTGTTCAGTCGCCCCCGATTTGCAGGGAACAAATGCGTGGTGCAACAAACACTTTTCGAAAGGAATAAGCGCATGAAGCCCCGGAGCTGTTCCGGAGCTCCTCCTAGGTCTGAAAGGAATACAACTATTTAGAAGCGTTGCAGAAATCCAAAATAAAAAAAAAATGAAAATTTGAAAAATTGGCAAAAGATTATACCTACTTAGTGGAAATATTCCGAAATCAATACAAGGCAATTTCTTCATACATAAAAACCTGTTCTATTCCTAATAAAGTAAAATAGGAAAAATAAGTATATCAAGTTTGGTTGGGCCAGGCGAAATAATAATGGCAATTTCCCGAGCAATTACCATTAGTCAATCAATGCGAACTGAGTGAAAAAAGTTGCACTGATTCTGCAAATTGAAATAGCTATTATTTCAAATCTTGGCGCCATCTATAATTTTTTTAATAACTAAAAATCTAATTTGTATCGTGTGCATGGGAGCGATGTTGCCCCCTTAATACTTGAATAACTATTAGCAAGCTCTTTAAAATTATTAGTTAACCTGGAAGTTTCGGCACACAATATTAAACAATCCGAAGGAACACAGAGAGATCCGATGGTCACGGAGGAAACCACGCTCCTTGGGCAACAGAGGAAATTGTTGAGTGGTAGGGCGTCACCAGTTAGTTTCATCAAAATTCTTAACGTTAAATGTCGTTGGAAGACGGTTTTATCAGTGTGGGCCACTGATATTTCCTCCGTTAGCCCGGTTTGAGATCATAGAAAAGTAAATTGGATCATTCTGAGTTCCTTCTGATTGTTTGTTTTTCTGTGGTTCTGGTCACACTTTCAATCATCTCGATTCACTCTTTTTACAAAAATATTTGTACATTAATTTGCATCTGAAGCATTCAACACATCACCCTATTCATTTAAATTTTCAGTTTTTCATGATTCACTATTTTTAAAAATCTATTATTATTGGTATATTCTGAAAACTTGTGTAATAGACTGTGAGATAGGGCCTGTTTAGTGGAGTCATTTTTTTTTGTCTGGCATTTTGAGGAATGAATGTGGCTACTAAGCTGATGAGAATATGAGTGATTTTAATGACTGCCTCCCGTTCGAAAATTTGCAGAAGAAAAAAATTGATTTACATGAGGATTTTTTTTTTAATGATCTCAAATTTTTTGGCTTCTAAATAAAAGATTGACATTGATAAATATTTTACCCATAAAAAATACCAGATGCTTTTCAATAGCTGAAAAAGTGGGGATGAGTGTCAACTTCCAAGAGAAAAGAAAAGAACCTTCCGTGTTCACTTTTTGTCTGGTAATCGAGAGAATAAAAGGTTTTGTTGTGAAAATAACGCTGAAAAATCGCCAGACGGTAATCACCGAGGTAATCACAGTTCGAAATCGAGTTTTCCGGCGAAACATTCTATAGACATTTCGAACAAGGGGCAGGCACTAGAACCACTTATATTCTCATCCGCTAACTAGCCACATTCATCCCTCAAAATGCCAGACAAAAAAAAATGACTCCACTAAACAGGCCCTATCTCAGGGTCTATAATCTGATATTGAGCAAGGTCAGTAAAATCACTCTCCAATATTAGTGCATTCATGCCTTGGACATTTTTATTTTTAACTTTTATAAAGAAATGGTAGAGACATGATCTCGAATCTCCAGCCTTTCTTGTCGGGCCATTGATCATACTCACATACCCATGGCTTTCCATCATTGACTACGTTTATTTCATGCGTTATATCCGGATGCTAAGTGGATTGAACTGATAATGGGGATAAATAATCCTGAAATAAACAACCAGGATTAAAGAGTTTATCCGGATCGGAGTACTTAATACAATCCTCCAAATTTGTAAGATTGGACCTAAAATGGATTACCTCAAATGTGAAATAAACACCTTAATCTCTTAAGAAGTTTGTTGCTAACTTCAAGAAAAAGTCACATTTGTCATTTGGAATTTTTTTGAGGATTGATGTTATTCTGCTTAATTTGGATATTTTTGATGAAAAACCGGCGTAAGAAAAAAAAAAAAGTTACCTTTTAATTGTTAATTGAAACTATTTTTCGTAATTTATAATGAAGTTAGACACAAACGAAAAGACTTAAGAAAGAATTAACACTGATCTTGATCCATTCAATAGTTGTGAAATAAACGAATATGGATTAATAATGCTTCATTCACTCAGTATCCGGGTACAACATGTGAAATAAACGTAGTCATTGTTAAACAATCATTTGTCGCACACATTTCCCTATCTAGGAGATCAATGTTAATATCACCTGTGAAAATATATACATGCTGTTGCTCATATACAGGGTGGAAAATTAAAAAGGATCCACCTGGATTTTCTCGAAAATTATCAGGAAATTGAAAAAACGCCGAAACACGTCAATTTTGTTCACAAGGGGGACACTTTTTGGCTATTTCAAAATTTTCCTAAATTGCACCCCCTTACCGGGATGAGTTGCACCCTCAAAACTTGAATAGGGAAACTGGGTCGAGTGGTACCTTGTTTAAGAGGTATTTGAGATGACTTTACAGATCTGTAATTTATTTTGAAATCTGACTACTAGTTTTCAAGATATTTGCCCTGGAAGTTGCCATGGGGCGAAAAGAGAACGTGTTTTCGTACATTTCTACAAGAAAAAATTGAAATTCCTGAAACACGTCAATTTTGTTTATTTTGAACCTTTGTTTCTTTGTTAGTTTGAACCTTTTGAACAACCTTTCAAACATGACCCACTTTTTATTTATTCACGAAAAACACGTTCTCTTTTCGCCCCATGCAACTTCCGAGACGAATATCTTGAAAACTAGAAGTCAGATTTCGAAAAAAATTACAAATCTGTAAGTTCCCCCATACAACTTTTGAGGGTGCAACTCACCCCGGTAAGGGGGTGCAATCTAGGAAAATTTTGAAATAGCCAAAAAGTGTCCCCCTTGCAAAAAAAATCGACGTGTTTCGGTTTCCTGATAATTTTCGAAAAAATCCACGTGGATGCTTTTTAATTTTCCACCCTGTATGTATAAGTGATTTTTTTATGGTTCTTTTCATTTTATGTTTGCACATTTCTAGGCAGTGCATTATAAAATAGAGGTCCATAGTAATTAACCCGGCTATGACAAACGAAATCTTTGAACTCTGCCTGGTGTTATAATCATGGATTTCATTGTTTTTTATTTGCTACAAACACTTCCACAACATGTTCCTATAACCATTCTGAACATTACACGTAGATGGGATGGTGTAAGAAAAATTGAATGGTAAGCTGTCAAGATTGATTTTCTAGGTAACTCATCCCATCAATGATCTTATAACAAAAATGAAATTTTGAACCAATCTAATTTGAACAGTAGCTGTTGAAAAGCAATATGTATTTGATAGAATTCTTATTTTTATTTCAAATTCTATAATCGTTGTCAAGTTTGAGTTTGATTTTTTTTTTTGGTTGGGATTAACAAATTCCGGCCAAAATTTTAAAAAAAGTATCTTACCGTAGCTCTCATCGTCTGATGGCTCAACATTTGCTCAATCGCCGGCAAGAATCCCATGTCCAGCATCCTGTCCGCTTCGTCCAGCACGAAAAAATCAATTGCACTGAAACTGATGTGTCCTCGTTGCAAAAAATCGATCAACCTTCCAGGGGTTCCCACCAAAATATGACAGCCGGCGTTCACTTGATTCCTTTGGTGGTGAATGGCGGTTCCTCCATAAACCACCACAGTCTTGACGACGCTATTGAAAGAAAATTTCTTTGCCTGTTCGTAGATTTGAATGGTCAGCTCTCTGGTAGGGCTGACTATGACCACGTTTGGCATGGCGGTGTTGCCTTCTCTCGCTGGCGGATCTTGCTTTTCCAGGATTTTGTGGATCATCGGCAAGAGAAAGGCGGCCGTTTTTCCGGAACCTGTTTGTGCACAACCCATCAGGTCTCTACCTATAAAAAATGATTGACCATTGAATAGGGTTTTTCTCATTTTTAAATCAGATTCACTTCTTATTTGTTTCACTTATTGGAAAGATTGTAGAGAAATTAGGATTTTCTCTATTAATTCTTACTAATCTACTATAAAAACATCTTGCTGCGTTAACAATTTATATAACAATCCACCTTTAAATGTGGGAGAAGTCTTCTTCTTCATCTAAAGGTGGATTTTTATTCGTTTTTAGACATTTCAACACCCTGGCACCATATAAGAAAACTATTAGTAAATTATCTATTAGAAACCAATTTTATTACTTGTCACTTCTTATAACATCTACGAGTACACTTACCTGCAAGAATTATGGGAATGGCATATTTTTGAATCGGTGTTGGTTTCATGTACTTAGACTTTTTTATGTTCTCCAACAAATGCGGCCTCAAACCAGAAGCAGCAAAAGAATTTACAGGCTTTGGCACGTCGTCCCCTGAAACATTGACCTTGATGTCGTCCAACTTCATAAAATTGACACCAGAAGTTATCGTGGTGGTGAACAATTCGTCGTCGGCGACTCGTTCCACTGGCACATAAATTTCTCGGGGTTTCTCAGGCTGGCCGTCTTCTCCTACTTTCTTGTCATCGTCGTTGTGTCGCATGGTGCTTCCTTCTCTGCCGCCGCGAGATCCTCCGCGGCCTCTTCCTCTGCCCCTGTCTCTGCTCCTATTTTCTCTACCGTCAAAATCGTTGTCCTCGTTATCGCTGTAGCTGCGCCCTCCGCCGCGGCCTCTTCCACTTCCTCGTCCTCGTCCTCTTCCTCTGCCCTCGTAGCCGTTACTTTCCAGGACCTCTCCAGTATGCTGTTCCCAACGGCCTTCTTCTCGTTTCCAGCCTCCCTTGTCATTGCCATTTTCATTTGCAAAGCCGTTGTTCTGGTTGCTGTTGCTACGACCTCTACCTGAAAGAACGATAAGAGGTTGTAGGGTATTTATTATACAATTTATGCATCAAAAAGCACACTTACACTTTTTTTTTGTATGCACAATTAAATCTTTTATAAATCTTTAACTAAAGCCTTTAAACTTTTCAGAAATTTTCTCACCTCTTCCAACTAATCTGCTGGTGGAGAAGCTCCTGGGTCCAGGTGCGAAAGAACGCAATACTTCGTCATCGTTTTCATCAAAATTTTTGGCTTCTTGGATTTGGCTTGTTGCTTTTGCCCCCTGAAAATCAAATAAATAGTACATTTTTGTTGCACCAAAGCCCGATTTATACACCTTTTGATAAACTGTTGGGTAATGCAATTTGACAGATAAAAATGCAATTTATAATCCTATTGGTTCGTGGGTTATCCTTTGACGAATAGAGACTGATATTTATTGTTAATTTATTCAAGTTCAAATTCAAAAAGCTGGTCTACAAATTTTATGAGCTCCATAAATTTGTGAACAAAAAACTGCTTGCAACAATCTATAAAGCACTGGTTGAATCCATTTTACAGTGCGCCATAGTCCTGTGCGGTGGTCTCTAAGTTAGCGCATTCAAACCTCATAAATGTTGTACAAAATAACACATTGAAGGGGTTATATTTCAAAAAGAAAAACATTTTCCAACTGACCAGCTGTATAATGAAAATTTTCTAAGTATTAGAATGCTGTATTTTTATAACATTTGCCATTTTTTATAGAAAAACAAAAATTTACAAACAAAACTTGAGCACACATACCAAACCAGTCAAATATCAAACCAGAATTTAGTAGTTTCTTTCTACCGAAAAGACGGTAAGCAAAGATTTGCCACAAGCTTAGGTCCAAAACTACACAACTTCCTACCAATAAGCATCAAAAATATACTTAAGTACAATGTATTTGCTAAAAAGTGTAAGCCAATTATACAGGGTGTACCATTTAAAACGAAACAGGCTAAATATCTGATGCCACGTTTACTTTTAAAAAAATCGCTCGTACAAGTGATTTGATTTTTAAAGAAGGAAGTTTTCTGCAACAATTTTTAGCACTTCAACTTTAACCTTCTAGGCAGGGTGGGACCAACCCCTGACTATTTCAAATGGAACAAGGGGTCGAGTGATACCTCTTTTAAAAGAACATTCAATTCTCTTTCATTTGATGTCATTTGAAGTAGTGAAAAAGTGGTAGAAGATATTATAGTTATGTGAGAAACCCATATTGTCTATAATAAGAGTGATTTTAACATTCGTTGATATCCTGTATTCTGAAATGAAAGTACTATACTATAAGCAAGTTTGATGGATGTATGATATATGTTAGAGAACAACTTCTCCGGAGTTGCATCATCAGAGAATCAAACAACCTAAAATGTCTACATGTTTCATTATGCAAAAACAATACTTTTATTAACATTTTGCGACTTTATAGATCACCAGCTACCAATGAACTATAAACTAAACATATCTGGAATGGCATCGACCGTTGTCGGATATGGCATTTGTATGGCATTTTAAATCTCACTTAGTGCGTCCAAAATAGCTACATAGTGGGGGATATCTTTCTCTCTCTAGTTCATTGCTGTTCCATTTTTCCATTTTCCATTTTTAGCCGTTTTCTATCCTTAGGATATAGGCCTCTTTCAAATTTGACCATTGTCTTCGGTTTTGCGCAACTCGATACTAATTTAAGCCTGCAACCTTCTTTATCTCGTCGTAGCATCTTTGTTGTGGTCTTCCAACACTTCTCTCTTCCCAAGGTTTCAATCTAGTGATATACCTGCTCCAGTTTGGCCACGTGTCCTGTCCATTGCCATTTCAGGGAACCAATTCTTTTTATTATGTCGGAGACTTTGGTTCTTTCCTTTATCCATGTATTTGTTTTGTGGTCTCTCAGGAAAATTCCTGAAATTCGTCTTTCAATGGCTCTCTGATGAACTTCCAATTTGTGTTTAATTTTTCTGGTTATCACCCAGGTGTCGCAACCATCCGGACAACAGGCAGTATACACTCGTTATGGACTTTTGATTTCAAAGTCATTGAAATATTCATGCTGAAGATGTACTTTAATTTGCCGTAAGCCGCCCATCCCAGTCTAATTCTCCTATCAATTTCCATTTTTTGATTTTGTTTGCCCGGTGTTATAGCTTGGCCAAGGTATATGTATGTTTCTGTCTTTTTTATTGTGCTGTCATGGATCGGTATTGTTTCGTCTGCATCTGATGTATTTGTAATAAACTGGGTCTTTGTGTAGTTCATGTGTAATTCTACTTTTGCCGCCTCATCCTGTAGTTCTTCAAACATGTCTATCAATTCCTGTTTGTCTTTTGCAAATAGTACAATATCGTCGGCAAATCTTAGATTGTGCAGGCGTTCACCATGTATCTTCAATCCTTTGTTTTCTCATTGTAGCTTTTAAAAAATATCCTCGAGCACTAAAGTGAATAGTTTTGGAGATATTACGTCCCCTAGCCGAACTCCTCTTTTGGCGTTTATTCTGTTGGATGATTCATGAAGTATTATCGACATTGTCGAAATCCTAGATGTTTTCAATGAGGTTTATATAACGTTGATCCACTCTGGCATTTCTGAAGGATTTTATTATTGCCCAGATTTCTACTGTGTCGAAGGCTTTTCGGAAATCGACAAAAGCCATCCATAAGTTTATATTATATTCTGTAGCTTTCTCGATCATCTGCCTTACTGTGTGTAGATGTTCTGTCGTGCTATAATGGCTTCGAAATCCAGCCTGTTCCTTTGGTTGGTAAGCTTCGAGTTTCCGCTCTAATCTGTTGGTGATTATTCTGGTGAATAATTTATATATTTGTGATAGTAAGCTTATCAACTGGTAGTTTTCGAGATCAGATCATACCGCATTCTCCCAATCTTTGGGTGTATGTTCTTCTGTCAGGCACTTATTGAATAGTTTCACTAGTTCTTGTCTCGTCTTTGTATCACTTTCCTTGAGCATCTCAGGCAGAATATTTTGTCTTCTCTTGTCCTTGTGTTTGCTATTTTAGATTCGTACAAATCTCTATAGAAAGATCCACAACTTTTAATATACGTTGTCTGTCTTCTACTATGTTGTTTTTCGCATCTTTTATTTTTGTTATCTCTTTCTTAGGTGTGTTATATCTTTTAAATATATTTAGTCCTTTGTTCTGTTCTAATAGGGATTGCACTTGTTTTGTTTGATGTTTTAGTATATCTTGTATCGCCATTTTTCTTGCTGTTTTGTTAGTTTCTCTGTATTCAATAATGTCTCTTTTACCCTCGGTTATCAGTTTTCTCCTTTTCTCTAGTAGCTGTTTCGTTTCTATCAACAGTTTGTCTAGCGTTTCGCTAGGGAGCCTATTATCTGTTCTGCTGTTTTTGTTAAAATTTTTGGTATTCTCCTATTGTTATCATCTAATGACTCTTCTGTTTTTCTTGGATTGTTGAAAAAGTTTTCTTTTAGCCTTTGTTTGGATGTTTCCCTTCTTTCTGCTATCTTTTCTCTACTTTTTGCATTTTACCATCCTGTGATCACTGCCGGTGTTGAATTGATTGACTACATCTACGTCTTGGATTATTTGTTTATGGCAGGAGATTCTAAAGTCAATCTCATTTTTGGTTTGTCCATCTGGGCTATTCCATGTCCATTTACGTTTCTATTTCTTTTGATGGAAGAAAGTGTTCATGAGGTAGAGTCTTTCTCTTTCTAGGAAGTTTGCTAACATTCTTCCCCTTCCATTTTTGGTGCCGAGTCCGAACTGTCCCATGTGTGTTTCCGTTGGTTCTGCTCCTCTGCCTATTTTTGCATTAAAGCTATAAATAATATGAAAGAAACTACAGTAGAACTGAGAACAACTGTCGAAGTCTTAAAAAGCGAGCGTAATATGTATATAGAAGAGATGCAAAGACTTAAAATTAATGAACTTTCCAAACTTAATCAAAAAAATACTTTCCATCTTGACAATTATGATTGGAGGAGATTATAAAATCTCGATATATTGTCAAACCAATTCACAAAGAAGGATTTTGTCATAATCACTGGAGGCTTACAGGACGCACTACAGGGTAGGCATATTAGTAATAGTTTATTTGAACTTCTATTAGATGTAGGGCAACATACAAATATAATGTTTTCATCAATACCTCTCTGGGGTAATAGAATAGTGCTAAACAAGTTTATAGATAACATTAATATCTCGGTGTATGAGCGGCTTCACAAAGTTGTCAGTTTTATAAATATTAATTCTCTTTTAGATTCTAGCTTCTTCTTCTTTAATAGGGCTTTGGTGTTAAAAAATATGGCAAAAATCAAGATAGCTTAGCGCATTGATTCATTTATTTTTAAGGAAATCAATAATATGGAAAATATCGGATATCAGAATCATTTTTTATTGTAGATGACGACGACACAAGTGTTAATAAATGTGGAAACCTAAAAGTAACTAAAACTGCGGAACTTTCATTATTTTTATTGAATATACAATATTTGCGAAATAAATCTGACGAACTCTTTGTTTTGTTGGAGAACTTACATATGCCTACATTTATTTTTCTAACAGAATACTGGCTAACAGAGGTTGAATTTTGCTATATTCCAAACTATAGAACCGTGTCAATATATTGTAGGGAAAAGGGGTATGGAGGTACAGTAATTATGGCTCACTGCAATTTTCTAGAAGCCAATATCATACACCCCGTTGACCAACATAACGATTTAATCATAGAGAATCATGTTGAGTTTTCACTAGGTTGCATACAAGGACTAAATATCTACCTTGTTTGCGTATATACAGACCTCCAGCTGGAGATTCAAAACTTTTCCTGCATAATCTTGAATTTCTTTTACATAAATTACCATTGTCTTCAAAAATTATTCTGGCCGGTGACTTGAATATTAATTTTACAGACATTGAATCTCAAGACACAAAAGCACTTGTTAATCTACTACACACTCCTTTAATCTTTAAGTCTTCGTAAATGAGCCAACATGCATTACTAATCAGTCATCTACAACCATCGACTATGTGTGTAGCAACTTCAGTGTGGATGAGTTGCACTGTAAAGTCATACCGTCGGGCTTATCTGATCACGAAGCTTTGCTAGCTAATCTAACGGTTGTTAATAACAAAAAAAAGTATCTGCAAAGCGAAGGATGTCCAGTAGGAAAAACTTTAAGAAATTTGAAAATTTAGCCGCGGGAGAATATTAGAATCACTGCCTGAATTCAGATGATCCTATAGAATCTTTCCAAAGTAAAGTAACATC